AAAAAAAAAAAAAAATCCACCTCAGAACCAAGTATAAAACTTTTCTGAGATTTGATGAAGTGTACTTGGTTTTCCCCAGCTATGACTTGCTAATCTACTCTGAGGTTTTGTTTCCTTTTGCAGGAAATGGAATCAAGGGCCCTTGCCCTTTCCCATCTTCCAAAGGAAGAAAAGATACTTCCTGAAGGTTAAAAAGGAAGCCCTTTGTAAGAACTTGGGCACACCCCAGGGGCCAGGCTGAATGCCGTGTCAGGTATTATTAGCAGCCCTACACTATAGATGTGTCTTAGAAATCTGTGATATATGTCCTAGATAGAGACAAGATGCCCAGTGTTGTAGAAGGGTGTGTCTTAAGCATGCGTGGCTTACGTGTCAGTCTCCATGAGCTCCACAGAGGCAGAGAGAAATCCCATATGTACACTCTTGCCATGTTTGTCTTCAGGTCTGTTTACTTACCTCTTCTTCCCTCCACTCTAAAAACACTCTGACAATCAGCACAGAATTCTCAGGAGTACTTCATAATTAACTGATTTTGTTCCAGTGAAAGTAGCCTGGAAGAAAAGGAGGTTTTGTACAGGCTGGAAAAGACTGTATTACACCTTCTTTAGAAATTTTTGGCTTCCCTATAGCAACCATATAGCTAGAGATCTCTATTACTCATCAACTGACACAGAGGGCCTACATAATGTGACCTTTATAATCAAAGCCATATTCTATTAAGGTGCCCTTAATGGAAGCGAGCCTTGCTTTATGCAACATCTGTATTCCTGAGTCCTACGTGAAGATTAAACACTATTTTCAAAATTGCTATAGAGCTGGCTATTTAAAAGACTTGCACAATGTATATTTCCCTTGGACTGTCTCTTGAGGTACCTTATGGGACTTGGAACACAGCAGGCTCTCAATCAAGTTAACAATGACTTTGAGACCAGTAGCAGTGACAATAGCACCTGTTGTGGCAGCTCAGAGAGTAGTAGCAGTCTTCTCCCCGAGGATAGTATGCTTCTTTGGACAAAGGAAGAGCTGATAAGTGAAGGACTAGAATGGGAACTCAGGAAGGAAAATCTCACATTTCAACCAAGCCTGGCACAAAGACCCCTAAAAGAAAGTTTAACTCAAAATGAGCTGGACAATTAAAAAGCAGAGGCAATTTTTCATGAGCTCCATTCTGATTTTATTCAAAACACATGTGGATTCGATACATTAATAGGCTAATAACACCTGACTGGCATTGACTTAGGAACCTGGAGGTTATGGTTCAATTCCTGGTCAGGGCACATGCCTGAGTCGTGGGCTCAGTCCCCAGTGGGGGACATGCAGAAGGCAGCCAGTCAATAATTCTCTCATCATTGATGTTTCCCTCTCTCTCTCTCTCTCTCTCTCCCCCCCTCTCTGAAATCAATAAAAACATATTTTTAAAAAATAGACTAATAGCAAAACTAACCAATAGGCAATCAATCCACCTAGATGAAAGAACAGGTCTTTCTTGACAGTGAAGGCTACTATCACACACACACACACACACACACACACACACACACACACACACACACACACACACACACACAC